TTTGCAAGCACATTGGAAGGACTGGAAGGACTAAGAAAATAGTAGCTAGGAGTTGTTAAGTTGTTACTGAACACCAACCATGTTTAATCCTTTAAATGGATTATCTAAGTGAATTCACTCACAACTCTATGAGACAGATAGCAGTATTAGGATCCCTTTATCACACATGAGAAGAGAGACAGGTTGCTTAAGTGACTCTCTCACTACTGTTTACAAGCAGTAAATAGTGTAGATTGGGATGGAGTTCCAGTCTGAATGTTGAACCCATGCACTTAATCCCTGTAATATAGTGCCTTCCAGGAGAAGAGTATTATGGAACCAACAGAGGAGAGTTTCAACAGGGAGTGGCCACTACCACTAAATGCTGCAGGCAGGTAAAGAAAGATGGAAAACGAACCTGACAGTTAGGAGATGAGTTCATTTAAAGTCGTTTTTTTTTTTTCTTCCAGTGGAGTGTTGAAGGCTGATGCCAAATCGCAGTGCAGAATGAAGAGTGAAGTGAGGTTGTTCAGTGAGGACAGGGCCAGTTAGAGGAAAGATAAAGTTATAAGACATGACTGAGGGGCAGAGACTGCAGGAAAACGAAGAGGAGAGATTTGCAGAGGTTTATGGCTAGGAATAGAAGAGATGCTGTGTTATAGCAAAGATTGTATAGCCAAACACAATCAAGTGCCAGACAAATAACACCTCTCTCTCTGGCAATTTTTAATTTTAAAAAATATATTAAAATGCTTTTAGTTTTACTGTTTATTTAAACAAGATAATTTACAATGAAAAATTTAGTACATTGGGTACTTTTGAATTAAATCAGGTAGAGATGTGGTATCTAAAGAAATGTGGTTTATCTTCCACAATGATTTGCTGGAGAAAGAGGATGTGTTCAGATGTAGCACAGTTGCCATCAGTGACCTAATTAGCATTTGTTTCTCCCCACTTTCCCGGGCTAACAATCCTGATTTGTTTTGGTAGAGGTGAGATGAATCATTATTGCTCTAACTGGTATGGTCATCTTACTCCTTGGCTGGCAATTGGACCAAGGATGGCTATGTCATGTAGTTCTGGCTAATGAGCAGTAAGAAGTCTTTTGGGTGAGGCTCCCAGGAAAGTTCAGTTCTCTCATGAAAAGGAACAGAGACTCTTCACCCTTCTCCATGGCTAGGACTCCTGACATGATGCCTAGAGGTCACCCTCTGAATGTGAGGTGACAGGCGTGACAACAAAGTCAATGTGTGAGGAATGGCAAAGCTGACATTTAGAAAGCGCTTAGTACCTCACCAGTGTGCTACCTGGCTTTGCACCTCTTGTTATGTGAGAGATAGACCTGTATTTGTTAAGTCACCGTTAGATTTTCTGTTGCTTGCAGCCAAACAATCCCAAGAGAAGCAAAATCCTTCTTCAGCTCTTTCTTATACATGTGCAGTTTATGGCAAATTTTAAGATAATGTCCCTAATTGACCCGCTTTTATTTTTTACAGGTTATAATGTCTTATTGAAAGGGTTTAAAACTATCTGTCTCATCAATTTCTAAACAAAATTTAATCTTTAAAAATTATATTTGGCCACTCTATTCTCTCTTTCGAACAGCTGGACACATCTAGTTTCTTTCCAGTAAGTAGAGCAGTGCCTACATGCCCATCAGCTGGGTCTCTATAATGTCAGGAAAATATTTTTGTCATGGAAGAAACCAAAGCATAAAGCCATCAGAGATGGATTTCACATCACAACTAGACCAGTTCAAAGGAATATTTCCTTAAGCCATTTAGTCCACATTAAAAAATCTTAATGGAAGAGAGATTTCATGCCAAAACATTTCATGCCAAAACATCAATACTTACCATGAAACTGCAAAAATGCCTGTCTGCTGGGCTAGTCGGGATAGGATGGAGTTAAATGTATAATAATCCTCAATGGCCTTCAGGGCTCCTGGGATGAATATGATTATTCTGATTTCTTTGCATCTAAATGTTGGACACTCTTGAGATATAGCAACTAGGGAAGGTAGCACCTTCTGCCTCAGCATTATTTGACTTGAGGTTCACAAAGACAGGTGACATGAGAGTTTTTGTCTTGAGATTCAAGGTATGACAATGAAGTAGTGAAATCTGGTTAGAGGAATTTATACAGTGAGTCTAATAACAATATAAATACTTTCTCTTTTTATAGTGTAACTTGGATTTGTGTTTGGACAATGAAACACAATCAGGTTTCTAGTCAATTCTGGGAGTGCTGTGGGGAGAAAAAAATGACCTGTTAATTTAACAATAATAAAAGTCTAGATACTACTATGGAATTGTTTAAGCGAGAGTAGGAGAATCAACATTAAAATTATTAGAGCAGTTAAATAAAATTTATTGAACGCATGAATATAAACATCTCGTGGGACACAGCAAGTAAATGTATCCAGCAAATATGTTCAATTATGCAGAGATGGAGTATTTTAATATGCTGATCTTCTTGTTAATCTCCTGAATCATGGCATAATTGGCTATCAGAGGATTTGATATTTCAAATCAGGTGGTCAAATCTTTGGCCTCACTCTCCATTATCACATTGAATGAATTATTAATAATTCAGTCTTAGTGCTTTGAGTCAAGCCCATTAAGAACAATCTAAGTTTCAGATTTTCTCTAAAAATGATATAAGAAAGAGAGCTCTTTTATTGTATTCAATTTTAAATGGAAGCATAATTGCCTGGTAATGCCATTGTTTAGAATGCTTTTAAAGAGAATCTTCAATCTTTGAGATGCTTCCCATGAATCACTAATTAATGTAAATCTTCATTAAAAAAATATCTGACTGCTTAAATCATGGTTAGAGAAGTGCTAATTCTGTTCTCTGCTTTTCCAATTTATGAAATCCATTTATTTTACAGTGCTTGTATTAGAGTTTGATAAGTTATATGGATCTCCTATGAGTCCATATTATGTGGTCACTCTACCCAGTGAAATAAACATATTTGTTCCTATTATCTATTTCCTGCTTTGAATCACGTTCATACATCCTGTGCCTTTGTTATGTATCTATAACATACCCTGTTGTCAGTCACAGCTTGTGACCCAGCCCATTGTCTATCACAAACCCTTTCTCAAGTAATTCTAACTCGCACAGCAACAACCATCTCCATTTTCAGTCTTCTACATTTGTGTACACACCACAAATCTGTCCTGAAAATACATTTCAGTATAGTATAGTACATTTAAAATACCACTGAAAATTAGCCTATTTGCAATCTTTGAATAATCTGTTAATGTAAAAGTATTTTATCATATAATTTTAAAGTTATATGATACCTTTAAAATTTAGTTTAGTTTCACTTACTAATTGATTTGTGTAACCTTTGTCTAAACACCAGTGGCCCATTCATTGTTGGAATCAGGTTTTAAATTTCATTTATCTATCTAAGTTTACTACAGAACTGGATACGCAACAAGCTCTCAATAATATTTGGTTATTAACTGGATTAAATTCTGGAATATTTCATACATATGAGGGTATTAACCTGCTTGAGCTTCTATAATGAAATACCATAGACTGGAGGACTTAAATGACAGAAATTTATTTTCTCACAGTTCTTGACCAGAAAGTCCCAGATCAGAGGGCCAGCAGATTTGGTTTCTGGCGAGGACTCTTTCCCTGGCTTTGCTGATGGCTGCGCTCTCCTGTGTTACGTGGCCTTTCTACTATATCTGCATGCAGAGAGATCTCTGTGGTGTCTTCCCGTTCTTATAAGGAAACTGGTACCTTATGGGGCCCACCATTGTGATCTCATTTAATCTTAATTATCTAAGGCCCTATCTCCAAATACAGTTCTAGAATGCTTTTCTTCTCAATTAATATTGTTTTCTTTGTGACTCACACTATTTCCTTGTTTCCATTGCCATTGCGTTCAGATGCATCATAAATTCATTTTCCTAGTTCAGACCTCTGGTCTGAGTGTCAAATCATTGTCTCCAACTCTCTACTTGACATCCCCTTTAGGATACCTAAACAGCACTCCAAGCCCAGGGTGCCAAGCCAGACCAGTGAGCTCCCTTCCAACCTCTCCTAGGTATTGAGTTATATATGCTAGAAGTGCATTGATTCCCTTTCTCCTGCTCCTCCCATGTCTAATGAATCACCAAGCTGTGTGGCTTTTTCCTCCTGAATCTTCCCACTCCTTTCCATTTCTACCTCCAGGCTTTCATCATCTCCTACCATGGATTTTCTGCTTCTAGGCTTAGCGTGCTTAAACCAGTGTTTTGCTCTGAAACCAGAGAGAGCTTTTCACAATACTAATTTTTTCATGTCACCTGCCTACTTAAAATATTTTAATTGTTTAATTGCTTTTATGGTAAGTACGTAAATCCTTAATGTGACTTAGTGCCCAGTGCCTGTCATATAGTTGGCACTCAAATACTTGTGGAAGAATGTGTAAATGGACTTGTGTAGGCTACAGTATTTGCTTTAAAAATAGTATTGCCACATACATATATATCTGTGTGTATCTTCCTTTTGTTCATATTTCTTTTAGATATATTTCTAGAAGTGAGATTGCTGGCATAGTTTGGTTTTCATCTATTAAATATCCAGGTTGATAGGGCAGTTGGTATAGTACCTTGCAGCTGTCAAGAGCAAAGGCATCTCATCCAGAAAGATCAGTGATGATTTATTAACGAAGCCATCCTTACCTTCTATCTGATGGAAGGGAATTATATCCTTAAAGAGTTGCCTAATGACTTAAGGAATTTTTTTGAGATTTTATGCCAAGTAGCTTTAGATTAAATATTTTATAAGACAGAGCAAGGAACAAATGAGTCAAAATGTTATAGACATAACAGATGTGACTTATTCCTATTTTTATTTTGCTTATGTTTTAATTAATGAAAATTATGGAAATTAGGTAATTTAAGGAAAGGAATAACTTGAAATGGGGTGGTGACATAAAGTGCTAAGAAAAATGTTGTATGATTTATAATTTTCATAGAAGTGATCTGTTTACTAGTGTTCTTGATACTGGGTAGATGGCGTTTCAGGAACATAGTCTTCCTTCTCTGCCTCTTTTGCTCCACTCCCTGGAAGGAGGATGTGTGCGGGGTGCTTGTGAGGTCGGCAGAAAACAGCACGAAGCTGTCAGGTACTGGAAAGGTGTGGACTAGGGGCATCAGGTTACCAATAGCTCTGCGCTTACTAGTTCTGTGACCTTGGACAAACCAGTTAATCTCTGTGAAACTTACTTTCCCCATCTGAAAATGATACTAACCACTGGCTTACATGCCACCTAGATTGGATGTGATCATTTGTTTTATTATTTATTAATGCATTTATTTATTTATCTTTTAAAATTCGTTACTGTTTAAAGTATTGCATATGTCTCTTTTTTCCTCCATTGACCTCTCCCCAGCTATTCCCACCCCCTATCACATGCCATCACCCCTCTACTATCTGTGTCCGTAGGTTATGCTTGTATGCATGTATACAAGTCCTTTGGTTGATCTCCCCGCCCCCCCCCCCCTACTCTGAGGTCTGTTTGATGCTTCTGTGTCTCTGGATCTATTTTTTTTCATCAGTTTATGTTGTTCATTATATTCCACAAATGAGTGAGATCATATGATATTTATCTTTCTCTGACTGACCTGGAAAGCATTATGCTAAGCGAAATGATGTATTTATTTTTAGAATTTGTTTATTTTTTGAGCTGATACTAAAACACTATATTACTGATTCTAATCATGAATTTGTATACCAAAACATTAAAAGCATGTACTACAGAGACGTTAATGGCTTTAAGAACCCTTTTCAGCAGCTTATCAGGCTGCAGAATAATTTGCAAGAGGCTCTTAAGGCAATGAGAGTACCAAGAAATTCTAAAAGAGTTAATACGCTCAAAGGGAATACAGAACTCTATGACATTCATCACTAGCTTCTTACAAATTTCTCCTATTTTCTCTCTTGCTCTACTGTATGTTTTAATATTGAAATGTGTAGATCATGTAGCTTTATATTTGTTATTATCTTATTATTAATTTTGTGTCAGCCGCTTTGTGACTGTTTAAGCAGAACTTTGCTGGAATTATTCTGTCTGTCCTTTCTTGTTCCAGGCAATGGGCCACACCACGACCGTTGCTGTACTTATGATGAAAACAACGTCGTGGATGGTGTTTATCATCTTCCAATTGGACACTGGATTGAGGCCACCGGGCACACCAATGAGATGAAGCACACAACAGACTTCTATTTTAATATTGCAGGCCACCAAGCCATGCATTATTCAAGGTAAAAATAGTGCCATGTTTATAAGCATAGAACTAGGGCAAGAGGTAGCATTAGGACAATGGAAATATTTACAGCATTTGAAACTGCAGCGTCTCCCTTCAGAGGGGTACATAGGCCTGCAATTCTTTGAGGGCATGGGTTACAGTGAATCACTGTGTGAGCTTTTCTGGTTCTAGATGTGAAGGATCCTTTTCATAGAAGTTTTTCGTTAAGTTCATACCCTAGTGTCAACATATTTTGACCAGAGAGTAGTTCAACAATCTTTGTACTTAGATAGTGGATTAAAAATAAAAACTGGATAAAAATACCCTTGATCACTATTTATATCTTTTATGCTACCAAACAACAGGGAAACAAAAATGGGAGTCTTCTTATAAAATCTTACTCAAATAAACATGGGTGAAAATTTAGACATAAAACTAGATTGGATGTGATAATTTGTTCTATTATTTATTAATATATTCACTTTTATATATTTGTTTAGTTATTATACCTGCAATATATGCCCTATTAAAAATTTAAACACAAGAGGATACTAAATCACAAGTAAGGTTTACAACATTTTTTTTTCTTTTGATGCCCTTGACCGGAATCGAACCTGGGACCCTTCAGTCCGCAGGCCGACGCTCTACCCACTGAGCCAAACCAGTCAGGGCACAACATTTTCTTTATTCCCACTCATCATAAATAACTATATTTAACCATTTATGATTAGTTTTTCTGGAGGTTTAAATCCAAGTCTTAAATAATGTGCATATACTTTATTCGTTAATGTATCAATTTAAAAATTTCTGCCTAGCCAGCATGGCTCAATTTGGGTGTTGGCCTATGAACCAGGAGGTCATGGCTTGATTCTTGGTCAGGGCATATGCCCAGGTTGTGGGCTCAATTCCAAGTGTGGGGCATGCAGGAGGTGGCCAATCGGTGATTCTCTCTCATCATTGATGTTTCTATCTTTCTCCTTCTCCCTTCCTCTCTGAAATCAATAAAAATATATTTGAAAAAAATTGCTATTGGTTCCCTCTATGACTTGAGACAAATGTAGATCTTATATACTTGTTCTCTCTCCCTATTTCCAATCCCTATTAGACTCATTTAAAAAATTCTTTTGTTATTTAAGTTCGTACAAATTCTGTTTCTTGAGCCATAAATTTATGATAGTGCCTCTTGATATTCTACTGCGTAATATCAGAAATGTATTGCCCCTCTATTTCCCTCCACAGCTACTTTGGCCTGTTCAGTTCTGGTTTTCATTAGTTTTACATTTTCAAGGTTTTACATTTCATTTAGATAAAATTTACATTTCATTTAGATAATAGAAGTAAGTATGTAATACTTTGATAATTTCAAGTTTCAAACCAATATCCAACATATAAAATACTACGTATATATTATTTACAGTAGAACATGGAGTGCTTGTACCATAGACAAAGAGATGCATCCCCATTTTCTTAAAAATTGTATTGCTTTGAGTGTGAGAGAGAATTAATACTAACAGAGCTATGAGGGATAGGAGAGAGGGAGAATACAACTTCATCATAGTGTTAGGGAATCGATAATCTTCTTGGACACACCTTCCTTGCAAATTCATGCTAGATCTTGGTCTTGCAGTTGAATAGGAGGCAAAGCATGAGGAAGACAGTAGTTAAGCATGACTCATGGTTTTATGGCCTGAGTAACTGGATTAATGGTGTTGCTGTTTCCTGAGATGGGGAACATTAGGAGATGAAAAATCTAGAATAGGGGTTGAGAGAAAAATTCTGTTTTAGACATATTACCTTTGAAATGTATGTTAGATTGCAGAAAGGAAATCACTTTGATGTGTGAAGCTTTGGGGAGAGGTTAGAAATGGAGAGATAAAATAGATGACGTTCAAAGTGATGAGACTAGATGGGATCATTTAGCATTTGAGTGCGGTATAGAAGAGAAGTAGTGAAAATAGGCTTTTGAGTCCACACAATTTAGATATCAAGTAGAAGAGGAGGATCCAGAGAAGAGAATGAGAAGGAGCACCTGTTGAGATGTTCAGATTTAATGAGAATGTGTTTATGGCTTGTTTTTCATTTATCCTGAACCACATTTACTGAACCCTTTTATCTGAAAAGTCATGTCTCAGGGGTGGGCAACCTTTTTGTGAGTGTGTGCCAAAACCAGCAAAATCTCTGACTCAAAATTCTTCAGCGTGCCAACCCTAATTTTTGGAGAACATGTTACACCTACTTGATATCTCTTAAGGTGTACGTATGTGAAGAACCTTGAAGAAATAATAAAATTCATTCGAGCGACAAAAACACAGTATATGATGATGAAAAATACATTTATTTTTTAATGTATACATGTGCACTGATATTCCGACAGAAAACTTTATGACTTCGTTTGATATTATCAGTGGGACTTTTGCTGCTGCATCACTGATGACAGAGATTTTACATCAGGTTTATATTTCGTGACCTTCAGAGATATGCACGAGCTACTACTTTCATCCGTCAGGCTACTCCTATTACGAGACTTAACAAAATTCATCACTGAGAACAAAGATTCACAATTGTAAATGCAAGATTATCAGAGAGGGTTTCGCATGCCAGCAAAAGTTCTGGCGTGCCATGTTTGGCGCATGTGCCAGGGGTTGCCCACCCCTGTCTTAGGCTCTAGGGCAGCAGTCCGCGAGGTCTGAAAGGTTGGCTACCGTTGCTCTAGGGATTTTCTTCTGTTTAGTTAGTTTTTCCTTTTATTGTCTTTATTCTGTCAATAAACACACTCCTGAGATGGATGTTGGATTTTACGGATTTACATCCCATTCTAGAATTTTAAAAAATGATTTTCACTTTCTGGTTTTATTGCTTTACATTTTGGGGTCACTTTATTCCCCCCCATTTTGCACAAGGAAATATAAAGATTTGGCTCTTTTTTTTCTTTCCCTCCTCCCCCAAACCACAGTTACATCCCTTCTATTATTCAATCCTCCCAATTTAGTTATGGCACAATTTTGAGAAGATCAGTATTTCACATGTTTATTGGTATTCCAGTGTAAATGCTATTTAACACCCTAAGCTGTTGACAAATGTCTAAATCTTTCTTTTTGGAACTCCTATTATTCAGATATTGGAACCTGGCCTGGGTGTTTTTTTTTTCTTTCTTTCTATTAATCCTCACCCGAAGATATTTTTCCATTGATTTTTAGGGAGAGTGGAAGAGAGAGGGAAAGACAGAGAGAAACATCGATGTGCGAGAAACACATCTATTGGTTGCCTCCTGCACAAGCCATGACCAGGACCTGGGCCGGGGAGGAGCCTGCAACCGAGATATGTGCCCTTGACTAGAATCGAACCTGGGACCCTTTGGTCCGCAGGCCGACACTCTATCCGCTGAGCCAAACTGGCTGGGGCTGGCCTGGGTGTTTTATATTTTGCATATCTTTATCTATTTTTTTCTAACAGATTTCTCAACTTTATCATCCAGCTCTGCTATTTAGTTTTTTGCTTCTGATAGCATTCTTTATATCCTAAGAGCTCATTTAATTCTCTGAGTGTCCCCCAGTCCAGAGACTTGTTTACCCTTCCCCAGAATATAAACCTCTAGTTTTTTGTCAGGACTGGAGAGGGAACATTTCCCGGTGGAGGAGAGTGGGAAAATGATTCCGAGAGCTGGCTGCTTCTTAAAAAAAAACTTCCAACCAGTTCTATTCCTTTCACCTTAATCCAGAAGTACCTGGTGATACCAGTTTCTGAGCCTGTTGGGGGTTCTGTAGTGTAATTCCAGTCCATTGTCAGCTTTCTTTGCTACTGGCCTTAGGATTTAGTTTTTCTCTGTCTGCTAAATTATTCAGCAGTCAACCAGTTGCTTTACAGCTTCCACAATTTTGATGTTGTCATCTTTTTTCCTGTTCTGTCTTGTGGTTTTATGTGTATAATTTGTTTTTTTAAAATTACTCTATTCTTGCTTGAAAGGAATTTAGTGAAGTCAATAGACGTGTGAAATCAATTTGTTTACAATAAAAGTGAAATAAAGAATTTAAAGTGCCTAACATAAAACTTGGTCATAGTAGCTCAGTAAATTTAAGTCCATTCTTCATTTCTCATATTTAGCGTGTATTCTGTTCCTCTGATACAGGTAAGATTCTACCATGCTATCATGAGATTTTAAAAATCAAAGTGCATTTCCATATTCAGGCTGGGGAGGGAAAGTTTGTACTTGGTACCAAACTACGTCTTCCTCTTCAATGGATTTTTCTTTATGCAAAAGAATGAATGTTTGCCCTAATGAATTAAACGAGACTTTCGTGGAAAGGGACTGTAATTTTTGTATCTTGAAAAGACTTCTTGCCTATTACACTCATTTCAAGAGACAAATTAGACTTTATAAGCATCACACTTTATACTGTTTACAAATGTGAAAGCTTGGAAAATGTATTATAAAAACACTAGAGGCCTGGTGCATGAAATTCGTGCACGGGGTTGTGTGTCCCTCAGCCCAGCCTGCACCCTCTTCATCTGGGATGCCTTGAGGGATGTTCGATTGCCTGTTTAGGCCCGATCCTACTGGGATCGGGCCTAAACGGACAGTCAGACATCCGTCTCAAAATCCAGGACTGCTGGCTCCCAACCCCTCGCCTGCCTGATTGCCCCTAACCGCCTCTGCCTACCAGCCTGATCACCCCCTAACTACTACCATGCAAGCCTGATCAACGCCTAACTGCTCCCCTGCCAGCCTGATTGCCCCTAACTGTCCTCCCCTGCAGGCCTGGTCCCCCCCAATTGCCCTCCCCTGCAGGCCTGGTCCCCCCAACTACCCTCCCCTGCAGGCCTTGTCCCTCCCAACCTCCCTCCCCTGAGGCCTGGTCCCTCCCAACCTCCCTCCCTGCAGGCCTG